AGCACTTTAGGTACGTGTGTTATGCGATTTATTCAAAGTATGCCGTGAATTGATTTTATATATATATATTGTATCAATAAGTCACATCATGAAAAGTGAGCAAAAAAGTGACTGAAAGTGAATGTAGTTTTCGCCAATATCTTATCCAGTGGTACACCTACAGATATTCTTTTCTCTCTTCGATGTGGAATCCAACTTTGCGAAATCTAGAGGTAGACATCATGAACAAAATGGCATTCTTCATTCACCATCTTTATTTGCATATCGTCGAACTTCACTTAAAACAATTAGGCGATCAACAGGGATCACTATTAACTGTATACCGTGGTCAGAGTTTGCCCAATGTGAACTCTGAGAAATTCGAAAAAACAGAGGGCGGGCTCATACCATTCAACAATTTTTTTTGTCAACTACCACCGATTACGATGTATCTTTTGCCTTTGCTTATGGTAATCAAAATGATCTCGATCTTATTGGAATTCTCTTCCACATGTCAATGATTGATTCACTTCATGGAGAACATTAGTTCTTTTCCATCAGAACAAGGGATTCTATTCTTGATGCACAGTATCTTTCGCATCAATGAAATCAAACCAATAAACAAGGACAACTGATTGTAGCAGGTGAAATTCACTATGACTAGTGATAATGATCCTCAGTTCAGTGTGCTCGCTACATACATTTAAGAGGAGATCAGCTGAGAAAATTGTTGCTTAACCTAGTGGAAGTTCACAAAGCTGAAGAAGTACACTAAGTGTTACTCGATCAGGAATCCGATGATAGTCGGAGAGCATACCTCTATCATATGTTTGTATGTGCTAAAGATCAAAAGAGTTCATACACACAAGCAACTGAGTTTTAAGAAAAATCGCTTCAAATTGGGCGGCAATCAGACCCTGAGAATCCTTTTTCCTACGACGCCTCCTACAATAGCATCGATTTAGTGTATTGTAAACTAGGCCTGTACTCCGAAACACCGTCGTCGTATAGTCAAGGATTTGACATTGAAAAAGAAATTCTACCTCCCGACCATCCAGATTTGGCGATGTCATATGACACAATTAGCATTATGTACTCCGAGTTGGTACAATACTCATCAACATTTTCTTTATTCAAATGCGCCCTTGAAATTGGACACTATTCATTATCACCCGATCATCGTTACCTTGAACTAGGGTATACACCATTCATGTGTTAGTCATCGTTTTAGGAGTTTCGCCTCTTCCAGTGTTTATTTTGCATATGCAAATCAATCTCTCTTCAAGGGAAAAACATTCCTGCATATATATATATATATATTCGTTTTTCAGAGATCGAAAGAGAAGATGTCGTGGGAAAAATATCGCTTCAAAAAGAAACAGAGCACACCGAGCGACGAAATTTACAGGACGTCAAAGACTTCAATGAATGTAACAAACTAAAGCGAATACACAACGACAAGTGACAACAAATGTAAACAATATGAGAAGATCAGGTTCAAGAAAAAAAATAGGCCTGTTGTGAAGATAAATGTTTGTAACAGTGGAGCTTCATCTCATAGAAAAAGCTATGTGCTCGCAAATGGTGACGTATCAAGCAGCAAATAAAAAATTCAGCGAAGAAAAGGTTTATTCACAGTGAGAAAAGTTGAACTACAATAGTGGAGAAAATCTGGCAAGAGCTGCGCCAATAATTCAACGATCAAAGTACTTGAAAGTAGACGGGGAGAAAGCGAGAATATAAACAGAAAAAAGCAAAGAAAAGAAATACAAGCAGGATTACACATATAATTATGCGTGTTCCAGAACCCCTGGAACGAATATAAAACTGATTGTTCAAACATTCAAAAAAAAAACGAAAACTCTTTGAAACGTTGATAGATTGTTGCACCTATTTGACACTAAATAACTACAAATTTTGAAGTCCATAGACTTTTATGTAGATAAGAATCTGTAAAAACAGTATCATGCACTATTTTTTCAATTTTTTCTATCATGCTAGCCATTGTTTTTAAAATAATACAAATTTTCGAAATGTTCTGTTGATGCATCTTGTATCGTTCCTATAGATCAAACGTGGGTTAGTTTTGCAGTGCAATTCTTTGACTTAATTTGATTGATAAAAACATATTTAATAGGATGGCAAGCCACAGACATTCGCTGTGTAGAACCTCGATCGCCTTGAAAAATTAACTCTCGCTAATTACTTAATTCGTTTGTTTATTTTATGCTACTTTAATGCACACGAATTTTGCATATCTATGATCATTTATATTCTTACAATAACACATGAATAGAAAATAAGAAATACAATACATGACAGTGTTGCTTCAGATTTCCATCCGTAATTAAATGTATGAACCTCAAACTTTGTAGTTATTCAGTACTAAATGGATACATCAATCTGCCAAAGTTTCAAAGAATTTGCTTTTGTTGAATACGAGAACGATGAGTTTTTAATTCGTCTCAGAATTTCTGGAACATCCCTTACGAGAGAAAAGACGTCGGTCATATTATACTTGAAGATCAAAAAAAGTGACATCTTCTTCTTGTTTGTCAAGGTCTATGATCTTGCAATGATTTTGGTATGTTTTTAGGCAGCTACTGTTTAACGAAGTTCATACTCACTTTTCCGATACTTCTGCTTTTGAAATATTACTTTATATTGCCTAACATTTTGCTTTTCTTTATTGATGTCAATGTATGGGCTACGACCTGATCATGTTCTTTTCTGAAGCTCTGGAAACCTCTTAGATATACTACTGCAGGAAATGGTATCAGAAAGTAGGTCGAATAGGTGTAGAATTTTCTCTTTATACATAATCAAATGCGCACACTCTACACTCAAAAATAAATCCAATGATAATAAAGAGATGAGCTATATCTTGATGAGTAGGTAGTATACACTTTTCAAAAAATTTGAATGTTTGAAAAAATGCTTCTAAAATAAGATGAAAATTTCTTGGTGTCATTCTAATTACATCACAATTATTTACGTTTTCAGGTGTATCTAAATCTTCATTTGGAGAAGTATTTGCTTTATTTTTTAGAATTTTTATATAAATTTCTAATGCTTATTCATAATCGAACATATTGAAATAAATATTAGTTATATTTGTTACAGTCGACGAGAGACCTTTTCTTTTTGTATAATATTTAAGGTTTTTTTGTCAGTAGATTTTGAAAAATAGAATGAATATTTATTTCTGCCACATTGTTTTCGTTGATTAGAGCATATGCAGGTGAAAAATTTTCTATTGCATCATTTGTCTTTCTTAATTTAAAATATGTTAATGCAAGAATAGTATTAATTTCATTAATATTGTTCTTTAGAATTAGACAGAAGATCATATATTCTATTATATTATCCTATTGACCCATACCAATAAAATACCCTAGAAAACAAAAGTAGTTGTTGCTTTTATTATTTTATTGAATATCAATCATTATTTATACTTAGAGATAAAATTTGAAATGTCTCAACCAAGTCAGTATCGAATTCAATTTCAAATAAAACCCAATGTCTATTTTCATTTATTACTTCAATGCACGTTAAAGCAACTGATTGTGACTATACTGCTGAAAGAATATCATTCATTGATATTACTGATTGCCTTCATTACTTTTCAATTTATCTATGCCATTAAATGACTAACGGACAATACACTGAAAGGTGTGAGTATGGGTAATTGCCTCTTCTTTTCACCCACATCAACAAATAAATGCGGGATAATTTGAAGCGACGCGTAAGTTCGCGATAACAATGCTCTGCTCTTGTCCTTGGACAATCATTTCTTTTTATTAACGAAAATCATTTGCATGCACATTGGAATTTTACCTAGCAACGAAAAAACGAAGTAATGCTTTATCTTTTTCTGCGCACATGTTGGTTGTAGTTGTATAGAAGCCAAAACATTTTTCTTCTCTCGTTCTCACATAACAGTGACAGAGCGCAATGTTTTAATGCTTTTTTTAAAATTTTCAAACGCGTGTCACTACAATGTATAGTCATAGCCACAAACAAACTCTACGTGAGAGCAAATTTAATAAAGATGATGATTTTCTCAACAAGCTATTGGATCCATTGATCGAGCATATCAATACACTCGATAATCGACTTATGGAATTAGATGCTAGACAACTATTCGCAAATATCGAAGAAAAACTCAATAAATGGCGTAGTGATTGTCACAAGACAATAGATCTTTTTTTTAAACGAAAATGTCAAGAATTCTATCAAATTATAGCCGAAAAAGTGAGCAAACAGAAAACAGAAATGACTCGATTACAGTTAAATGTCAATGAACTCATTCGTCAGCAAAAAGTTTCTCTTGAAAATATTGAAGCATTGAAATCGGATGTTCGCCATCTTGAACAAGACATGAAAGAGACGGAACATAATAAATGCTTTCAAATGGACATTAAACCATTAATGATAGACAACAATTCTATTCATATTACAGAATCAAAAATGCAACTATTTAATCTATCAACTCTTTCGCATCCGTTTGGTGGCATCTATCATTATTATGGAAGCTGGAAACCTCTAGCCAGCAATAATAAACTTTTATTAAAACATCAAACGCCAAATTTATGTTTGTTCAATCGAGAACTACGATTAGTCAAAGAGGATGTATGGACTCATGGTTTAATTTGGGATATGTGCTGGTCATCGACATTAGCCCGTTTTGTGGTTCTTACTCTTAACAGCGTTTTTCTTGTCGATGAAAATACAATGTCGATTCAGCAAGTGGAAACAATTAAAGGGCAACGTTGGTACTCTTGTACATGTTCTGATACATCGCTATTTTTATCTACAGCAAAAGCAGGCTCTTCCATCAGCGAGTTCAAAATTTCCTCGTCGATTCAGCTTGCCAAACAATGGCAATCTCCTGAGACATGTACAAAAGACGAATGGATTTATGACATAGTTTATTCGAATGGAACACTAGCTCTGATGATTGGCGAACAAAAAAATAAGAGAAAACGCATGGAACTAAGATCATCAATGACATTCGATCGATTGTGGTTACTTCACCTCGATATTGTCGACCCTCAGAATAGATCGATTCGTTGTTGTCTACTCAATGATGAAGAGTGGCTCGTCATCGATCGAAGTAATTCGCGTCTTTTTCACGTTATGAAGGATGGAAAAGTCAAAGCAACAGTTTTATACGAATCGGAGCCTTGGCGTGCCTGTTTATTTGGGTCGAATACACTAGCCGTGTCGAGTGAGAACGGCGTCAATTTTCACAAGCTATAGACAGATGCTTTTTCTTAACTATTTTACATAGGTGTAACTCACTTCCGAATAAATGTTTGCTTAAATTTAAAGCAGTGGCATTGACATAATCTGAACATATGCAAACTGATTGCTGCATTATTATTGTATAGTTGCAATAGATATAATAACTACTGTTCTAAGTCAACACTGAAAAATCAGTCATTTTAAATGCTTTTTCCCCATAAAAAAAATCATTTCGACCATTAAAATGCGACAAGTACACTCTGTTGAGTATTAAAATAAATTTTCTCAGTGTTGTTGTGGGTGTGGATATGGACCTTCTCTTCAGTCATAGCCTCTCCGATCCACACAGATAAGCTCACATGCACACCCACACATTTAACTTTACCATTTATTATTTGGTAAGTCAGTCGAAAGATGTATCAATCCAACAAATATTGTTTTATCATTCTTAATCAGCATAAATACATGTCTAAAATCAAAAAAAGAAAAAAAAAGAAAATTTTATTCATTGTAAAAGAGTATAAATACCGGTGCGGAAGTGAGTGATAGAAATATCTGCACATCCATACCTAACGCCGTGGTCTCTATGGCAACTCATGTGTTTAGAAACGCATTGTGCTCTTCTTGATGAAGAAGAAGGCAAAATGTGTGCATACTTTTGACTTTTTTTTCTTTCTTCACTATTGCAAACTATGACAAAGCAAAGAGGATTGCGATGCTTGCTTTCTTCATTATTTTTCTTGTTTGTGTAGTTATTTCTCTTGCACAAAAGACTCACATTGTCTAGAAACAACCTTGGCATATCTAATAGAGTATGAGGTTTGATAAGCGCTTCATTTGGTTGACTACGCTTTATCTGAACTGCCAGAAAGAAGCATGAGTCATATAAAAGAAAACGTACTTTAACAAGCTGTTTCTTTTTTTCAGCATTCTCTGCACGTAAAACAAGAGACAGGCTCCAGACGAAAGAATGTCATTCGGTTATGCAAGACTCACATACGAGTCACTGAAACGATAACAATTATCTGTGTCTGACTGTCAAGCATACGTCACATAATGACCTCCATGAATCGAACTACTTTGATTGGCTACGGCTATTAAATTGAAGATTGCATTTTCGCACTCATCTTTACATTTTTGGTTCCGATCGAGTCCATCTGTTTTCACAGAAACCTTTCTCCTCAAGAAGATTCATAGTTTCAGCAGACAATAAGAGATTCAAATATATTGAATGATCAGATGTAACTAAGAAAGAAATGCAACATGGGGGTGCTGTATTTTATGCAAACAATTCTTGCCAAGTGATTCTATTAATAAATGAATCAAACATTGATCAATTGACAGTGCCTGCAGATTTAGATGAGGTGTGATACGAGGAGATACGACATGAAGATCACGCATATAATTCTTGTTATATGTCGGTAACATTTGTAATTAAAGCGAACACACTTGCAAGAGTGAATTGAACAGTATTACAATAAAGTGAATATCGTTTCATAAATCATATTCCGAATAGTAGCGAAAGTATTTACTATTCAATATAATCGAAAATGAGTGGCTCTGAAATAAAGATAGAAAACTGCACACAATTGATTGAACGACAGTCTGGCATCTGAACTCAATAATAAACGATTCGGTAGCACGAGGAGCACGTTGTTCGGACAAGTTTAGATAGATACGTGCAATGGGATGAATATTTATGTAGAATATACGTATTCGTAATACTTATTGTGTTTCGCATACAGACTATGAACAGTGAACATCAAACGTAAATATGCATTCAAATAATAGGTTTTTTTGTCTTGTGAATTATGGTTTTATTTCAAACTATTCGACTATGTTCGAAACAAAAAAAGATCACCAGCTGTTTTAGACATGTTTTTCTTGCTGACTGATCGATCTGTATGATTGATCATTTTTCAGTGGTCATCAAACTTTAATATAATTATTCGTATTTTTTTTCTTTCATTATCATACACGCAAAGAGCATTAGAATAACTTCTCAAGTGGATATTTTGTCAGATGACCGTTGATTTTACATATTGTGAGTTTCGATTTTTTTTTGTGTTCATATGATTGAAAAAACCATTTAGTAAAGACGGTGAGATGGCCCCATTGTACTTTTAATGAACACTTTTCGGACATGCTGCCAATGTTTTCGTAATAATGCTACAATACAATTGATTGTCATAGAAATATTACTAATCAATTGTTCCTCAGTCATATTTACATGTCCAACAGGAACATTAATGAAAGGTGACTTTTTCAAATGAACTCGAATGGTTGTTTTCATTTTTTCGATTTTGTCACGTAATAATTCCGTATGAGTAACTAATGTTGGAAATTTTCCCATACGACCGAGACCTGGACCAAGTATACGAGGAATTTGACGAATGACATTGTCCGAGGCTAAGAAAGCATGATAGCGATGTTCAAGTTTTTTTTTCTTCTTTTTATCTTTGTTCATCCGTCGTAAATCATCCATTGGCATATGCGGAATTTTGTACAGACGAGCTTCATCACAATGTTGCTCATCACCATACACACAACATTTGTAACGGGGACGTATTGGATAACGAAGTTGAATATTAGTGGCGAAACGTTTTTCACGTCTAGTATCGTAATTTTTTAGTACGATCTGTAATTCAACAGTCTCCACAAATTTTCTTTGATGATGCACGTGAGCATAGTCTAGTAAACGATCAATAGACTGTTGAAGAGTTTCCTACAAAAGAAAAATACGACATTTTATTCGTTTTAAGAATGTGAAAATAATTGAACTTACTTTGGAGATTTTGTTGTTAGAGCACATAGTTTCGAAATTGTATGCACATCCAGTTGAATTTATATGTAACGATTTTGACATAATATTGCACAACACAATACCATGATTGAGCAATAACTATTTCGCAAAGAATCAAATTAGTCATCTTTTCGAGTACAAATTCGTGTTGACAAGCGAATCAAAGCGTGGACGTGGTGGTAGCTATTAAATAGTTGAATTCCCACACTCACATCATTACTTTGGTTAATGATTTATATCGAAGATCATAATCGATATGTGTCACAATTAAAACAGTATGTAGTAGGATAAAGTTGAGAACAATTATTCATTAATTGGTGCAATAAGGAAATGATCTTTTTCGTAGCGTCGAAAATTAATCGTACACAGTTTTGCCCATTTTGAAAGCAAAATATACATATACAAAGTAAGCTATTTCTTTTTGTAAATTGCGGAGATTTGAATGTTGCATTTTGTGAAATATTTTGTTTGTTTAATACAGTGTATTAGATAATGAAAAAATGAACTGAAACATAGAACTTTTTGTCCGAGAGAGATTGAATCGGACATGAATACGATTGTCTTTCTATCATAAACATTACGATTTGTTTGTATCCATCTCTGCATTGAATCACTGCAGCGTACTGCTTGAATCTGCAAGATTTTCCAACACATATAACTCCATCAAAGAGGTCGACCTGTCGTTTAATTCATTCGATAAGAGAGAAAGGAGATTCCCATGCAATCTTGTTTAGACAATGGCAAGTAATACTTACTTAATCCGCGGTGAACTAGCAACATTATGATGTATATATGTCAGAAATCGCAGTACTGGTGAATTAAATGAATATTTTTCATGGAGTATAGTTTCCATTAGAAATAAACCGTATTTATCGAGGTCACTTCACAGTTAGGCTGTTCGGTTCTGAACGTATCAGAAAAAAATAATAATGATTAGAATTGTCAATCTAGAAAAAAAAAAAAGAAATTTCAGTGAATAAAACGTACTGATAGACTATGCCTACACATGTTTATGTGTCAAACACAAAAATATTCATAAAGATTTTTTCAGTCATTTTTTTGGTACGCTCAATGACGATTCGATGATGTTTTGATAATTCTATGTAGTATTAGTTCAATGTTTCGAACAATTTCAAAACTTTCAATTATTTTTTTTTCATGGTTCCAAAAGAATAAACAAAAGTTCGTGCAATCTATTATATAGATACAGCATTGTTGGAAATGTAAATCCGTTTTATACCGTAAAGTCTGATAAATATCAAAAACACAACAGAAAACGATCAAGGCGAAGATTACAAATCAACAGAATGGCAAAAATATATATAAAGTGGTTCATACAAGTTTACGATACTGTTTATTACTGTGTTGTCTCCTAAAAAACACAAAGAGACATATCATCTGAATGACAAATATCAACATGATTAGCATCTAAATGTATCACCTCACCTCGATCTAGTTGACTGTTGATAGAGAACGAAATGAAATTTTCCTGGAAAAATTAAAATATAAAGACATTTTGGATGTGCGTCTACTTGGCTAATCTTTTCATCGACACACCCTACAAAGAACCGAATACTCTTCATCGGATTGACAATATTGATCTTTCAATTGAATCATAGGATTCTATTGTAGCCGAATAAGGTCCAAACATCGTTCAAACAAGAGAAGCTTGCATTGTCGCAGCGATTATCTTCATTCAACGTTGACTTTGTCGATATTTTCTGGTCTGTCTATCCACCGACTTTAATTCGGGTTTCTTCAGATCGATCCACGAACAATTAACAAAATGGCATTCACAAGGTCTTGTTCTCATCTTTGACAACCATTCAAGGATGGAGTCATTGAAAAAATCGGTAACGCAAAAACATTAAAATGAATCGAGTATTCTGTTATTTGGACTATCTCAGTTTGATCCTGCCACACATGGTGGAAGAGACTTCTCTTTGATCTTGTTACTAACACAAGAACCTATCAACATGTTCGTTTGTTCTATTGGTATCGATGAAATAACTTTGCATGTCTTGTCTAGAATCGAATCGATTCATTTGTTTGAAAAGAATTAATTGAGAACAGCGAAGTTTAAGTATTTATAGATTTCCATGCGGAAAAGATCTCTCAAGTTTCTGTGCGAATTTTAAATAAAGAAGTACTCTGTAATGACTCGCTTGATCCAAACTTCATAAATTCAATAAATATATATGTTGTAGTATTCTGTCATTGATGGAGCCGATCAAAGTTTTTAGTTTCTAATATCTACTCTTGCCTAAATCCGCTAGATCGACCGGCATGCTGATTTGAAATTTGTAGCAATGTGACATGATAACGTCGATTTGTATTTGTACTCATGAAGAAATAGTATGCCTTCTTAATAGCGATATACATAAATGTAGAAATATATATTCTTTTACTAATGCGCTACTCAGGCCATTGCATCTCTCTTCTTGACTATGTAATGAATACTCGTTTGTATCGATACAAAAGAGTATTGGTGCATAAATAAATAGACAAATGTCAATGGCATTGTATGACATTCTACTGTTGATGTTTTGGTTATAAAAGCATTGAAGATATTTTTCTTTGTTGCTCTTATCCTAAACTATCAATAACATATTTTTTTTCCTTGAGACCAACTAATGATGCTGCGTATCTTTTTGCTTTTATTCATTACAATCATTGCTTGTTCAACGTCGAAACGTGAATATGTAGTAAAAAAAGATTTTCTTACTGGTGTGAAAGCTGGTGAATTTTCGATCTACGATCAAACCGGTAAAAATCTTCAGTATCGAGTTGAATCTCGTTATAATGCTCTACATTCTGTCGAGCTTGTTGCCTATCCATCAAAACAAGTTATTGCTCGACTTAAAAATCAAATCACACTTTTATTATACAAAGGTACATTAGAAATATTAGATGCTAAATCAAACAAATGGATTACCGGTACAATAAATCAAAAATTGAAAATACTCAATCATAAATCTGTGATCGATTGGAATGGAAGACGATTGGTAATGAAACATAGCATCCCTTCATTTACAACACGATTCTTTGATGAAGCACAACGAAATCGACTTGTGGCCGAATATCGAATACACGTGGTATCATCAATGGTGACCAACAAATATACAATGAAAATCTTCACTGACGAAATACCCGATGCACTGTTTTTACTCTGTCTTACCGTTCGAGATCATATTGTTGCTTCAAAAAAATCTTAAACATTTTAGACTGAAGATCTATTAAATGATTGTATTCTGTATTATTCAATAAAAATGAGGTTTGCGAATAGAGTTCAAATGGATAGAAGAATTGATTAAGTACAGATTTTGTTTTAAAGAGTATGAAGAAAATTAATACTATGCAACATGTAGATAAGTTTATTGCAACTTTTTCGTACAACTAGGATTTTAGATTTATACTTGTATAATAACTTTTGTTCTTGTTAACCAATTTGAACAATTTATATATATATTACTACTCAATAGTTTATTTTGTATAGTCTGAGATATCCTACGAAATGATTTATCTTTTGTATGTCTCCCTCCGTCTTTTTACATCCATTAACTCCAAATACTTATTACAGATATTTTTTCATTTTTGTTACGAATAATCTTATCTTGAATTTGGCTTTGTCGGTATAAAACTCGGAGCAAAGCAAATGTACACAAAAGAAATACTGTTGAAATGTAAATAAAATGATTTAAAAAATCCTCCGAAACGAATTTTTTTTTTCGGTAAAATTTTACATCATTTGATTTGTTTTACAGAAGAAAGTTACCCTATTTTGATTCACAACATGGATTCTAAATTCATTTCGCAAAAATGATTCTAGTTTTATTGCAATCGTCAATTATGAATTCAAAAGCAGTTTCACACGTAAAATACGGCTTGTCCAAACGTAACGCTGTTACGTTTTTGACACATTGTTCTTCAATTAACTCGGAAGGTTTAATAGCTAGAAAGTTCATTCAAACGTCATTCGACACAGTTTATCAAACTCTATTTATGCGATAAGAACGACCTTTTTCGGCTGAAGTCTCGAACATCTGGAAAGGATTTATTATCGCGTAACGCTGTTACATAAAAAGACCCTTTTTTTCCAGTACCGCCGAGAAAACTCTAATTTCTAGCGAAACTATGTCTCCAAATGCAAACTTTCCAGAGTCACTTTTGTACAGCATCGAACAAGCTTTTAGGCAGTAAAAAATATTTTTCCTAAAGCATTTTTGCTTAGATGAAAAATGCAAAATACAAACGTAACGCTGTTACACAGTTTTTTGTGGACCAATTTTGAGGCACTTAACATGTTTAGAATGGTTTTCTTTTTACAAATGTTACTCATTTCCATGTAGATAATCTTCTACATAAGAATGAGATTGATACATCGATCCGAGACCTCATAAACCGGACAGTAAGTTGGAAACTGTGTAAGAGTCTGCAATTTGTCTTTACTTACGAAAGTCAAAACTAAATAGGCCATTTTGTAGAGAATTAAATTCTGCATCGAATGGTATGTCTCTCAATATTTTTTCAAAAATTTGTTTGGTTAAAAAATTCAAAATATAATTTTTCACAAGTTTAAAATCCGGTTTTCAATTCTAAAACCTAACTTTTTTACAAAATAAATGTCAAATTCGTAATCAGCGTTAAAAATTGCATCTAGTAACTCATTCAGATTTGTCCAACTCGAAAAAAAAAATTTTCGAAACTTGATCAACGAAGTGTCGCGTTACGTGGACAAGCCGGTTAACGTGTTGGGAAAATTGTGCACTGTGTAACATTGGCATAGAATATAATAAAAATATTACCCAGAAAATGTTTTACCGGTTATCAATGTCAGTTCAATCATAAGTATCAGATGTTGGACGCGTTTGAATTTGTTAGAAAAAAATACTTAGAGTAAAAAATGCGATTAAACAATCAAAGATGAATGCTTTTAATCGATTTTTTGATCAGTCTATAACTAACGCTAGTTAACAATAACTGAAACAAAAATCAAAAGTTTATTGATTATTCTGATACATTTTGATTATAACTGATTAAAGATTGTGCAAAAAACATTGATGTCAATTGGTTTTTTTTTGGTAATAAATAAAACAATCGTTTTAGAATAATCAATGCAATTTTCAATTTTTTCGGTTATTTTTTTATTAAAACCCGTTACCAAATGATTAAAAGTCAATTTTTATCTGATTTTTACCCTAATTTTTATATGAGAGAATCAGTATGTATGGGTCACTCATTCAGCTGGTTAAAAAATTGGACGTTCTTTCCATCTTCGAAATATATACAGGTAGGTGAAGGCAAAGTGTGAGTGATAATAAGTAGAACCCTACTTTTCTTCAAGAGCAAGGTTCCACATTTCTCATATTCACTAAACAGACAATCAGCAACCACATACAGCGATAAGGAAAAATAAGACCATCACGATTAGAAGAAAAGTCGGTGGTATGGACATTTTTGTTATAAAAGAAAACTAATTAATAAAAATTCAATTATGAAATCACTTAAACAAATAAAACGTCACAAAATCAGCCCGATTATCCAGTGATAGTACATATGCATATTATGTTCGCACAAGAAATAATCTATACCTACTAGAGGGTGGTTAAAATGAAGTCAATTCGGTTGATCAATAAGAACCGAAGAGAATCATGATAATATAATTTGTCTAACATCAATTAATTTCTGAGAAAAAAATACTCTTTCTCAAAACATTTCAACTAATCACTTGTTTGTTGTTTTATATTTTCGATATGTACGTGCAACAGATGTCAAATAAATTTCATTAATATGTAGTGTCGAAGTTACTTCAACTGAGCTAAATGCCAAATAAGTATAAGTTAACTGATGACATTAACAACAATTTATTAAGTTATAGTTAATTTTTCATTTTAAAAACATTCTTATAGGACTTCTTCAAAGCAAAATAATAATTATTCTACTGATGCAAAAATCTAGTCATTTTTTGGGTTGACGTTTTTAAATACCAGAAATAAAATTTCTTTCAAATTCTTTTCTGAAATGAATTTGTTAATTAAAACTTGTTTTCATTATTTACGTAAGCAAAAAAGAAATTCATGGAGACACAGGGATGAAAAACAAAAGCTATTTAAATCATTTAGCAACTATACATTTTTTTAAAAATAATGATCCAAAAGCTTTGAATTACAACAATTTTGTTTCAAAAGCATTAAATTTTAAATAGCTAGCTAAATACAATAGCTATAATAATGTTGTGAGAAGTTGGAAGCGAGACTAGCAGTGGTAGGCACTGTAAGGTCGAGAATGAAGCTGTATTCTGCATTGATACTGCAATCAGAACTGAGATAAGAAGTGATAGTAGCTCTCAGGTCGGTCTTGAAGCCGTGTCCAGCATTGATACCGAGATCATAAGAGTTGCTTGAATCTGCACCTTTGGTAGAAAGTAGAACTGTCGTAGAAAACGATTATCTTCACTCACTTTAGAGGCCCATTTGAGTTTAGGTTTCATCATACTCTTAATACTCAGCGAGGAACTAGTGCTGATGTAGCATCAAAATGTGTTTATGATGTGTGATAATTGGAAAAAACACAAATGAAGTCGTAATAGAGTGTGTTTTTTTCCAACCATTCGATTGATTATGCATCATCGTTGATTTAGATTGTCGAGTGATGCACGAGAGAAGAAACAAAACAATGGTGTTTTTTTTTTTTGAAACGAAGAAGGTATATCATGCATGCAATACTCATATTATTCATGTGCATTAAGAATGCGCAAAATATAACGTAAATTGTCGTATATATATAGACAGTAGTATGCTTTATTTTTTAGTCATATAGGAGCATCATTATATTGCAATATTCATTTGGTAGCGAACAAAAAAGATATCGCACAGTGCAACAAGCAAAAGTATGTTTTTTGAAAGTGCAGGTTCTCCACAAGGCGTTCGTAGTAATGAGTTTCGAACGTTTCTTTTTCAGATCTACATTAGGAAAAGTAATCTCATATAGTTTTACTTTCGTATCATTATGCTTATTGCACTCAAGCAAAAGCATTTCAAAATTCTGTACGAAATGAACAGCAGAAATTAGGCATTGTAAAGCCACTCTTTACCTACTATGTATCAATGAAATGGTGTGTCACTCTGGTTTCTGAGTGCCAACGTGGAGATACAGCGATTCAGTACTATAAAAGGTGTGTAAAGATATTTTTTTCAGAAGGGGAACGAGTCACACTATGATTTTAAATAACATCAACAATGAGTTTTGTATCAAATTCAAATGCATCGAAAATAGAATTCACCAATACAAAATAGGAAGATTTATGACAACTTTTTAACGTCGAATTCAAGAAGTCCCTAAAAATTTACGTCCTATTAGCATAGAAAAATACCTTTCATGACATGATTTTAACTAGACTCGAACATAAGATGGACACGAACATAAAATAATTCAAAATACGTAGATGTTTAATTGCTTATTGGTCAAACAATATGAAATTTCAGCTTCATATTTGATTATTCTTCCAATATTTTTAGATCATGTATCTAGTCCTTTATAATATTCAGCATTTTATATGAGATATAGTTGGAACCATGTTATGAAAAATATTTTTCTCTACTGACAGGGTGTCAAATTTTTGAAATTTCTTGAATTCGAAATTAAGAAGTTGCCATAAATCTTACTATTTAGTATTGCTGAATCCTATTTTCAGTGCGCTTTACTTAGTATAAAATGCATTGTTAATGTTATTTGATATCACAGCACTATCTCCGTAGAAAAATACTTTTACGCATCATGTATCATTCTGTTATTCGAAAATATTTTGTCCCGCTGAAAGTTAGGGTATAATGCAATGAAGAGAACAGTGTTCCAAGAAATCTTTGTGGAAGGGATTCTCTTTAAGTTAGTATTTGGTCCAGCATGTGCTTACGGTAATGTCTTCAGAGCGAGTGATTTTGATACATGCTTCATAGTTAAGAAGATAATGAGCAGCACATAAATTCTTTTTACGTTGCTTTTAATATTTTTACAGATAAGATAACAATGTACTTTGATGAGCATAGCATCACAATTGTAGTTGGTTCGTTACACACGATCGCCTTTTTTTTTTCTTTTTACTAGACTTGATGATATTAATAAACTGAGGAATAAATTCAACAAACAGTCAAGTGATCCTTACTTAAGTAATGAAAGAAACTCTATTGATTAAGATACATAGAGATTTGAAGCAGTTACCCGTTCACTTCATGTTTGCACGTTAAACTTTAGAATCTACTTCTTTTTCTGTCGCTTGCAAGTGTAAAAATGTTATGAAGATGATCAGTAAATACTAGAATGATGGAAAATGAAAATGTCCGGCTCTCTCTCTGAAAATGTGGAGATCTTTGCTATCACGATTTCTACACTGATATTTTCACAGTAGATTTGAGTTATTTTCTGGTAGAAACGAATGATTTTCGTGGTATTTAAGAAGAGGAAATCGAAAAAAGTCGAAGCTACTATTTACGAAAGGAAAACAATACAACAGTCAATGTAATTAAGAGAAGAAATCCATCATTTTCTCCCTTGTTTTATTTCGATGTTTTTCCTCGTCATCTCCGATCAATATTTATGAGATTGCCAGCAGAGTAATACATTTATAGAATATACTTTGCCATGAATTTTGTCAAATTGTTTATTGTTTTTACACATCATCAATTAAACAGAAGATACATTTTGTCCATATAATCTTGTAATGTACAAGAACTCCAAGAAGCGACGATCACTACCATACGACTGAAGACATCATTTGTGATATTGAGATGATAGGACAGTTTTTCATTAAAATTGAAAGTGTGCAATCGATTCTTTCTATGTTGCATGCATTTTCAGCCTTTAGACAAAACATTTTCATCAGCAAAATTTTTCTTGTCGTTCTATTCATGTTGCAGGCGTACATTTTATTATAAATTCCAATATTCTGCAGTTAGTATTGCATACATACGTTATCAAGACCAATAACATAACATTATCAGTCATAAAATGAAGCTGAATACAGCAGTTTCAGTATTTCTTCACGTTGTCGGCAGCTGTATCGTGCTCACTAGGGCAACATCAACACCGATCACAAAATTATCGCAAGTAGACAACACTCAATTCATGGTAACAATGTACGCATATGATCCAATTGGTCATACTCTGTGCTTAACCAATGGAAATTATGGTTTGGTAATACAAAATACAGGAGTTTACAATCAAGCAAGCGATATTGATTTTAATGGATATCTGCCAGGCGGCTTTACCGTTGGTATCGAAGGTGGTAGAATCGGTAGAATCATGGACATTGGTTCAACGACAGATCTCCCTCGAATTTACGGATATTCGGAAACGGTGGGAGGCGGCCAGGGATATGCGTCAATCCACCGGCAAAATAAGCGGGTTCTTATCCTGAAGAATTTAAGTTCTAATCCTGTAACCTTCCAACCAATCAGAGGATCCAACACGCTATTCAACCCAGGAATAGGCGTAGCAGGTGCCGCCATCAAGCTTGGTCATATATATCTCATTCGGATTACTGACAGGTACGATACGAGTTTCGAGCTTCTTGTCAAGTTGCTGGTGATCGCCTACATACCGAAGGTATCGGTCACGATTCGTTGGACACTTCTGTAAACATCTCCAATCCGTGTCTTTTCTATCAATTCTACAGTTTAAAAACTGCTGCGAATTTAAATACTTATTTATGCACACAAAACCATTATTCTTGTTTTCTCTCTATTCTTTTTCATACAAGTTTTGGAATCAATATGTTTGTGGAAGAATTAAAATACAACAATACAAAAACGTTGCGAGGAAAAAGACGTTGAGATACTGTTTTCTATTGTATTGTTTCTTCATGAGATATCTTCAAAGAATCATTAAAAAATTGAATCATTCAGCTTTCAGGGTTTTGAAAAGATTCACATAGGCAATACAATAATCGAAACTGATAAATTCGACCAAAATTTAATGGAAAAGGTCAAAATCATTAGCATTTTAGACAAAAACTATTCCGCCTAACTTAAATGTTCAAGTTTCAGAATGAAAAATTAACTGAGTTATTGATTTTATAATCAATAAATAAAAAGATTGATCAAAGTAAGGCAGAAGATTATTTTTCTATGTGGCCTCGATTGTTTTCTCCGTAATCAACAAAGATATTTCGCTAAAGAAACATGTAACAGAAAGATTAATTATGCTGCAGAACTAGGAGTAGCACTTTATCTGTATTTTACTTGGAAAACGTAAAGTAAAATGAATTATAGTATTTCAAATCTAGTATTGATTTTCTAACCCCACATAATATATTGATAATAACGCCGCATATAAGAATATTTTCAGAATCATTTCTCCAATAAATATTTCTAGCTTCATTCACCACCGAGTAGTACCTTTGACCGTTTGAGAATTATCTTGGAATCATGCCGTTGAATGAAGGGCTGGCAGTCATATGAAATGAAATGAGTAGTGTATCCTTGCTTGTATGTTTCTTTGCACGTATAAAGTCACGTTTACACATATATTTCTGAGATTTTAGAGCAGCTATTTGAAATGAGGGCTTTTTCATATTTCGATATCAGCCAATCAGATGTTTTTCCTATATGGAGTGTGGGTGGTGGATGTTTATGTGCCTGTGCATGCACCTGTTGACTTAGTATTCACCTAAGCCCTCATCTACACCCACACCCACACCCATACCCTTTTTCTTCATCGAGCTACATATCTTTTAGAAGGAAAACGTATGCCGTTCAAGTTATTATCGCTTACTAAAGCAGTCAAAATAAATCGTACCTGGCTGTGTGGATGTGGGAGTATGAATTATATTCATAATTCAAATACTAAGGATTTGGTCCTGGATTCCAAAGTTTTTTTTCTGGCAGTACGACACCTCCAGTAAAGTAGATAATTGCTAAAGTCACTTTATCTTGCTGAATCATTTTGAGAATTAGGCCATTTGAGATCAAATGCAAATCGAATCCAAATATCATCTCAACCAAATAATAGAAGATACCAAGTATTTAGATTTTTTACACTCCTCTATTTAATAGACATGTCTACATGCCTATTGGCATGCTTTCTGTAGGTGATACTTGAAAGGTGTGCATATCTTTAATCTATTTCGCTTTATTTTAATTCTTTTCTTCATTAAACACTGAGAAAAAAAAGTAGAAACATCAGTGTCACCAACGAAATGGTGGACCAGACCGTCTTCGAAATAACTGAAGAATGAAAAGAAGTATATTAGTATAAAATATCCTTCATACATCTGTGCAGTATTACATCAACAAATAGGTAAATAAATGCATCATAACTTCTACAAATATATTTCATTTTCTATCCATATTTACTTCATATTGTTTGCGACAAATAATAGTTCAATAACTTCAATCGAATCAACTGATTCTGAGTCTATTATTTTTAATGAAGACATGATCGATGAACTTATTGAAAACGAAATTCAACAAGGTTTTCCTGATGCTGCTCTTATTATAACTCGATATGGTAAAATAATAAAACAACCCGTCTATGGTTATAAACTAAAATATGATGAAAATGCGACAATGATAAAACAACTACAACTATTAACATTAGACACTATGTTTGATTTGGCATCATTAACTAAAAATGTATGCAACAAACTATGCGCTTATGCATCTGATTGGACAAGGAGCATTGAAGGTTGATGATCCAGTTCAAAGATACATACGTCAATATTGTGGATGTAGTCCTGAAAACGAATGTCGTGAGAGAATATTAATAAGAGATTTATTGACACACACAGCTGGATATAAGTGGAATATCAATTGACCAATATGTAAAGATTAACATTTATCAACCACTAGGTCTAACGCATACATTATTTAATCTTCTCAATAATTCAAACTAAGAAAAATCAGAGTTTGTTGTCACTGAATTAAACAGAAATACGGATAATCACACAATCAACTTCCCTAATATATGTACGCATGTATTACAAGGTGATGTTTATGACAAAAAGGCGTTTTATTCAATGAATGGTTCATCAGGACATGCTGGTTTATTTTCAAATTTAAATGACATGTCGATTTTAACTCAAGTTACGTTAAATAAAGGTACGTATGGAAATATTAAATTTTTGAGTCAAAATGTGCAAGACATGTTTCTAACGCCGTATTCATCTAATCCGACTTTCGGATTAGGATGGCGTCTAAACCGTACTAAATCTTTACCATGGTTTGGTCTCTATGCATCTGATGAGGCATACGGCCATACAGGACGGACAGGAACATGTACTGTTATTAATTCACAACACTCAATGGCTATATGACTTTATTAACTACTAAACGACATACCCTCTGTATCAATGGAAATTTTGACAGTGAAAAATATGAGACAGGAAACTATGGTAAAATAATGACATTGGTCTATGAATCAATGTTATTGCACAAAGACCCATCGGCAAACATTTTCAGCATCTACTATGAACTGTTGAATTGGGCAAAGGAATTTATAGTTTTCTTTTTTTTAATGGGCAAGAATTCATGTAAACTTTTTGAGTTCATAGGTATTTTATCGATGTTTCTAGTGTCATTATCAGGACAAATGTATAACGAATAGGTAAGAGATGAAAAAAAGAATGAAAACCAATCATCAATTCATTTCTTCAATTAGAAATTTAACAATTTACTCTATTATATACCGTAGTTGATGTTATAAGGACTTATAACACTAGTCATCCATCTGCCGTGGTAGCTTTTAGTTTATAAGACTGTAATTCTTTAAACTCATAGGCTATAATGGTGTGTATGTGGGCGCAAGAGACTTCTCTTCAATATCACACAACTCTCACGCATCTGTACTGAGCTTTGTTGTTGTTTTTGAGGCCATTTCATGTATGTTCCGTTGCTTATCAGATGATGACTAAAATATTGTTGGACATTTTCAATTTCAAGCTTAGACTTTGGTCCTTTTCATTTTAACTTTTCTTCTTAGAGTTAGTCGGGGTTTGCGTGTGGGTGGGTTGTGTGAATCGTCGGTTCAGCCACAGTGACAGTCACATCGACACACTCACATTGTTCTATCTGCAAAAGCACAAAAATGCTTATTTGTTGGAGGGACTAACGTAAGTAATCAAGTGCCTTATTTCAGTTACTATGATCTAATATTCATTTAAAAGGATAAAAATCATGATAATTATATTAAAACAGATTTGATGACTTCTTTTTCGTACAATCAGCACAACAGATACCAGGTTCTTCGAACAGAAAACCACGTTCAACCAGTGAGGAGCCGCATCGCTTGCAAAGAAAACATTCGTTGTGCCAATGACGATTTTCGTATGAAAGGTATTTAGTAGCAGGAGTACCTATAATATCAGAAGTTGAAAACAGTCAGAAGCTTCACAGTATGTCTGCTGACCGGTGATAAGTTTGGCGCATGCATAGCATTTATTAGCGAATAATACGTCAAAACAATCCGCGCAATACGGTTGATCATCGCGTGAAGTGAAACGTTCTTTAGCCAGTGACTTTTTGCAGCTTGTACATGTAAAACACTCTTTATGCCTTAAATTTATAAGAAAGTACCTTGGAGACCAGCTATTCTATAAAATGAATCGAATTGATTCTTACCAAGATTGTGCCTTGTATGCCACGCCACTTTGAGTAATACTCTAAAAAAACATTGATGAACGCTGGGGAAGTGGGACGAGAAGCTAACAACTCTACACGGTGAAATCGGATGTGTTTACGTTATAGCTCTCTTCATTAAACAAATTCGTGTTAAATTTTGAAAAAAAAATATTTTAAACTCTACTAGTGATGCTTCATCTGCACTATTTATCTCGTTCCTGAAGGCAAAAATTAGATGAGTCTTACTAGTTTTCACATTCTAACGACGGAACTCGGACCGCGGTAAAATAACTCCCATCTTAAAACTCTATCATTCGGTGAGGATATAAAATCCAGCTATCCGGTAAACAGTACATCTATTTGGGAGAGAATATTTCCTCGATTTCGAATAATGATAGGAAGTGGCTATGTACAATCAGGTAAATATAATCAATTAATTGGTAAGTATTTAGTTATATTATAGTCTTATGTGTACTTCGTTATTAATATAAATAAAGTTTCTTAACGTATTAGTAGTTTTACTCTATTAATTATTTATCAAATTCAAATAGAATACCAATCAAGTATTACAATCAAACAAATATAGAAGAAAAATTTAATTACATAGGATGATGAAAAAGTTCCCGAAACTTCAGTATATCTATTTAGGGAAACGACATTCCATCCGTCTTTCTGTGCCATATATTTGAGGTATAGTTGTTGTGATAATCCATGAGAAATTTCATCCTTTTAACTCACTCTTTAGATATCCTTGCGAAATAAACAATATGCATTGAATTGACATCCGTGGTTATTGCTTGAATTTCGATAGTTTGTTGAACCCTCAAAAAGTTGGAGACATTTCTAAGTGATGAACAGATTTTATGTGATACCATTAGCGGTTATCAGACATTCATGTGCCATCGCAATATTGCATGAGAATTATTATCGAAACTTAGGTCAACAAGAGAAACATGTTCTCCAAGCGACATTTATTGTTAAGGATATAGAATACAATAATATATGTCTACCATTTAATGATATTCGAATCATTAGTTGACATCTAGTGGTCTTTATAGAGGCTATTAATTCTATCTATATTGGTGATTAACGTTTAACTTGATAAATAAAAACGTTATTGAACAAAAACTTATCATCATGGGCTAGTCTGATTAATTTTCATCATCGTTTTGTTGAGCAATATGTAAAATAATGCCATTATTTACTTAAAAGTGAGAGGAATGAAGGTAAGGCTTGCCAAGCGTAGTCACCTTAGACTAGGCTTCTAGGCTCTTAGTCGTTGAGATGTATTTAAGATAGACTAGAAAAATAAGCAGCTACAACAATTTAACAAGGGTTACAACCAAGCAGGTCAATTCAATATCTATTGTTTACTTTGAAAGAGTTTCCAAAGAGTGAGTTAAAAGGATGAAATTTCTCATGAAATATTACAGCAACTACCTCGAACGTATGGCATAAAAAGATGCATGGAATGTTGTTTTCCTCAATACCGGGTGTCCCAAAAGTACTTTCCGCTTAAAATTTTTCGTGTATATTTGCTATTTAATTTGACTTTATCAACTATTTTTTTAAATGATAGGTACATACATCAAGTTTTTATTTATATCAACAAACTTCAGAAGTAATGTTCAAATCTAAGACCTTTCATCGAAATACAAACATTTAGCGTGTTTTCAATTTTCAGAATAACTCATGAGTGACATCTGATTTTACTGCGTGAATTTTGACTTGATACCATTCAGTTCGTTTTTCTAAAGACGAGCCAAAATAAAATTCTATGAAACGACTGTTCAAGAATTGAAAAATTTAAAGATACTAATCACTCGATAATCCGAAGTAATTAAAGCAGCAATGTTGTGTCAGCGTTGTCAGAAAATAGAAAACAGACTAAATTTTTGTATTTCGATTAAAAGTTTTAGCTTTGAACAGTACTTCTGAAGTTTGTGCATATAAATAAAAACTTGAAGTATGTACCTATCATTTAAAAAAATGCTAGTTGATAAAGTCAAATTAAATAGCAAAGATATACGAAAAATTTAAGTGGAAGGGACTTTTGAGACACCCGGTAGACATACCAAAGTTCCGGGAACGTTTTGATTACCCTATGTATGTTATTTCAGAGCTTTTCTTCTTTATTAATTGTGCCTTATTTTTCCGTTGGTAAATTATAGAACGAAAGACTCACTATATTTTTTTCCTAGTTAATTGGCTTTCGGAGTGGGAACTTGAAAGACATAAAAAGCCAATTAGCTTTCAATCTGGGATGATACCTTTTGTTAGGACCAATTGACTGATCTTCACTAAAGAAGAGGGATTAAGACAAGAATACGAAATCAAATTCTTTGAAGAAAAGGAAAAATAGTTACCAAATTTAGAAGTCTCATCATAAATGGATGCAAGAGAAGATGCCATCATTATTGCTTTATAAACAGATGTTTTTGCGTAACCATTATGTTATATGTGTGGAAAATAATAAAATACAACTATTTCCTTCAAAGCCTAGGAGGGGAGGCACTAGAAATGTTTTTAAATTAGTTGATTTTTATTTTAACTAACTTTTTCTTTTATATTTTATTTTATTTTAATATTTGATTTACGCTCTATTGAAATTTAATAAATAATTAATAGAGTAAAATTATTAATAAGTTAAGAACTTTCATTTATATTAATAATGAAGCACATATAAGACTATAATAGAACTTAAATTTACAAATTGATTGATTAAACCTATCTGATTGTACATAGCCACTTTTATCATAATATCGCAGCGATTCATATTGACAACTGAAAGTAACGAAATGCAAAGTATTGGAAAATAATTGGTTTCTCAGTCTATTTAACAAAATATGAAAGATAGATTGGCAAGACTGAAACTAGGTAAATATTACCGGTAAAATAGCTCTGACCCACTGCAGATACGCATAATTCACATGTATTCAGTTGTTTTATGTTGGCATTTTGCTGGTACAGTGAGAAAGCACTCGTGAAGAAACAAATAGTATAGCTCGATAATTAGCTGTAGTACCGAGGCTACTTCCAAAAATGCCCACCTATATTTTTGAGAATGATATTAG